GGAGGGGAAATCAATCGACAGTGAGGTTGTGAAGCGGTTACACCGATTGAAATGGATGGTTAGGACATGTGTGTTGCTCACGCATGCATGCCTGTCTACCTGACTAGTCATCGCCTTCCTCGACAACGGGTGGGGCGATGTCAGCCACTGACATGGTATCGATCAGGTTGGAAAGGAGTTAGCCAGTGGTGATCAAAAGAAAACAATGAAATCCACAACAGTTAGTTTAAGCCAGCTAGCCAGTCATGTAGGGAGGTGTAGATGGCCTGAGATCCTCTAGAAGGTAGATACCAATGCAGGCTGCAGAAAAATGATGATATGGCTGGCTCAAAGTCGTTGTCAATGATCGCTGGCGCAGATGTATTCACACTTTGTGATTGATAATATCCAATAAAATTCTACTATTCTACTGCGTCGGTGGCACAGTGGTTAGGACTCTCGCCGACCATGCACATGGTTCGGGGTTCGATCCCCGGCCACCGACGCACTGCTTTACCTCGCTAAGCCAGAAATAAAGCTGGTAAGGAGGAAAGGTTGGGCATGAGGTGGCTAGCAACCTCATCCTGTAAGAAATAAACACTGCTTAAGAAACTTCAAGTCTCTAGCTTGAAGCCCTATGTTCCACTGGGAACGTGAAGGAATAAAAAAAAAGTAGGGAAACCATCTTTGAGATTTTCGAATAACCTATTGCACAGATGTTCACCACTTGGAGTTGCCACAATACCTTCATGTACCACACAAGGCTACTGACGACAGTAAAGATGAGTTCAGAGCAGAGATTAAAAAAAAAGCGAAGTGTGAGTGAGGCAAAAAGGATAGTGTGAATGTATCTGCGTCAGCGCCAACCATCATCGAGAACGATTTTGAGCCATATCAGCATTTCTCGACTATTGAGCCTAGAACTTTAGTTATCATGTTGGTCAAGTTAATCCTCCGATGATTATTACAGGAAGATTTGTTTGCCTTCTTGTATATCGGGATAATCAATGACTTACATCCACCCGATGGGAATACATCTGATTTCCAGAAGCTGCCAAATACCTTAGTTAACACAGACAGACAGTAAACTGTCTCCGCCATTCTTAAACACCTCTGGAGTTCGTCATAGATGCATGTGCTAATGGACTTAACCCTAACTGACTTCAGTGACCCAGGGAATAATCTCGTTGACTTAGAATATGCTGACGATGATACAGTCCTCCCAATTGGATGAACACGCTGACAAAATGCTGCAGCAGAGTCTTCTGAACACCTTGAGTTAGAGCACCAACCTTCGAATGAATGTTTGGCATGGGAGCGATTCTCTCCTGCTGCTGTTGAAGGCAAGATGATGAGGCTACGGGACTGGACTACATCGACTACTCCTAGATTAAAGATCGACCGGCAAGAGTGAAGTGGTGGCTGGCTGGCTAAGCGTGTTGACCACTTCACTTATTTGGGAAGTTGCATCAGCCAGTGCCAACGGGTTGATCGCTGACGAAATCTCAGCTGAGTACGGATACAGAAGGCTCGTTTCGCATACACCAGTTTACACCGTCTCTGGTGCAGACGTGATATCCGGCAGGCTATCGATGAAAGGGCGTGTGTACTGCTCAGCAGTCCACTCCGTCCTCCTTTATGACTGGCTGCGAGACACAGATATTGAAATTGGAAGACATAAAAAGCCTGGCTAGTTTTCCCTGAACATAGGTGCTTGTGTTCTATCTCTCGTGTGAAGTGGTATAATACGGTGAGCAATATTGAGGTTAGGCGTTAGTCGAGTGCTAGGTAAGGAGGGGAAATCAATACACGAGGCTGTGAAGTTACATCGACTGAGATGGTTAGGACATGTGTTACGCATGCATGCATGTCTAGCCATCGCCTTCCTCGACAGTAGGCAATGTTAGCTGATATAGGGTCAGGTTGGAAAACAGCCACTGATGGTCAAACCAAAGTATGGCTTCATTAGCCAATGAAAGCCACGACAGTTAGTTTAAGCCACGTAGAAAAGTGTAGACTTCCTGGTTGAGGTCCTCGGGACGGTAAACACCAATGTCTGGAGACAACTGGTGATATGGATTAAAATCGTTGTCAATGGCTGGCGCAGATGCATCCGCTTCTTGTGACTTATGATGCCCAATAAAACTATATTGTTCTTCTATATTACTATTCTTTTTGCCTCGTATCTCTGTTGACTGTCTTTATTTTTCATTTACTTTCTTATCTTGCTTTATGTGCTACATGGAGGGAGAGTAGTGATTTGAACTGCAGCACATCGGTGCAAAGTTCTATGTTGAAACCAGTCAGTCAGTCTATATCCCATTCAGGGAGGTGATGGATGTCCGGCGCAACTGTAAGCCAATTAAACTGCTCCTCAAAGTGTTCTTTCCAACGATCTAGTCGTCTATCCTGGGAGCTAATTATGGTGTCATTTTTCTCAGAGATTGTTTCACTTATCATTTGCCTTTGGCACTTGTTTCCCTGATAAGTCCAATCAGTTGCCTGGTGTTACCTATCGCCAATTCCTTTTCCATCTCTTCCGCTTTTGTTGCCAGCCACCACTGTTCACGGCCGTTACGAAGGCTTCTAGTTAGTTTACGTTTGAGTAGCTTTCGCTCCTCATCATCATAATCAGACCTCGCTGGAATCAGTCTTTTTGCGTCAGTAGAAATCCAATGGCTCTTACTAACTTTAGGTTTCAGGTTATTAGCAGCTGTGTCTACAGCTAACTGTATGTTGTGCCAGGCTACCTCGGGGGAAGTCCTGCTGTCGACTTCAGATACTCGTTTCGCTATTTCTTCCTTAAATAGGGACTCAGTGTCACGATCTAGTTGGGGACGTAACTGTTTCGCTGCCAACAATTTTGTTATGTCCGTTTAATCGCAAGCATAAACGTGCGCGAGCCAGTGTGTGATCAGAGTCTACGCACGTGTTCCAGAAGGAGCGACAGTCTTTTACTGACCCTCGCCAACGATACCCTATGGCTATGTGGTTTATCTAAGTCCAGCGTTGATTTGGTAGTGGAGGTCGCCAGGTTACGCAACGTCCCTCTTTGTGCCCAAAGTTAGTGCTCACTAGGAACAGATGATTATCTGAACAAAACTATAGAAGACAATCACCGTTGTCGGTTCGTCGGCAGGAAACTCCGTACGTACCACCTACATACTTTTCAGTTTGGCACAAATTCCGTAGTTGGGCATTGAAGTCACCTGCTAAAACAACTATGTCTTAACATTTTGCTTTTTTCAGCAAATTAGACAGTTTCTGGTGGAAATCATCCTTCAATTCATCCGGACTGCAGTCAGCTGGGGTGTAAGAGTAGACTATGAAAAGACAACGACGGGTAACGCCATCCTTCCTTCTTCTAACGAACCTGTTCGGACGGACCACACGCACACACACATACGACTATCTACTGGGATCCAGTCAAGAAGGGAGTTTTCTACCCTAACATTCAGTGCTATCCCTACATCTGCGTGTCCTCATGAACTAGCTGAGGAATCTTCTCACACCCTTAAGGTGAATTTCGCAGATCCACCTTGTTAGATGAGTGGGGTTACAAGAATAAACACATTGGGGTCTTGTATGCGTGTCTCCAAAATACAGCATAAATCCATGGCTCGAGATGCAAGAGTTCTAGCTAGTGATACCTGTTGTCCAATTTGGCTGAGAGTCCCGACGGTGGCATTAAGAGACATTGGAAGTGTTTTTCTGACTCTCATCGTTATTTGTGGTCACAGAATGAAATGAAGATAACTGACCAGCCTGCAGAATAGCACTCACAGTAGTAGGGAAGAAAGATGATGAGGGTGACAGTGGTAAAGGAGGGTTATGATCAGGAAGGCTTCGTGTGCTCTTGGAAGTATGTGGGTGGTTGTGAATTCCCGGCTGCCCCCCACACCACCGTACCTGAAACAGAATGACAGTTAGTATTGCGTGACCAGAGAGACCAGGGGACAACTACTTGAGGCCGGCCTGTATGAACTGGCTTCTTGGATTGGTTCCGTATTGGTAACTTACTGTCGGTTACGGACTGCCGTAGGGTCTGTCTGTTTTCGACATAGAACTTTGCACTGATGTGCAGCAGTTCAAGTCGCCACACTCCTTCCTTGTAGCACACAAAGCAAGAGAAGAAAGTAGGAGAAATGCATAATATAGACAGTAAACAGAGGTGTGGTGAGACAAAGGTATAGTAATAACGAACAACAAAACAGTTTCATTGGAAATCATGAGTCACAAGGAGTGGATGCATCTAACTGCGCTAACCATTGAGAACGATTTTGAGCCATGTCACCAATTGTTTCCAACCATTGGTTTTTACCGTCCCGAGGACCCCAACCAGGAAGTCTACATCTTCCTACGTGATTCCATTATGGGTAAATTTTATTTTGATAGAGTCTCACAGTGTTATACAGTAATATTTACTGATGACGTCAGTAAATATTACCCATAATGGAATTACACTCTACCACAGTGCCCAAGTTTTATTCTTATACATCTTCCTACGTGGCCTAGACTAACTGTTGTAGATTTCATTGACTGGTGCCATGTTTTCGTTTGACTGCCGTAGGGTAAGTCGGGATGTAAAATTTTTGGACTCAACTTTTTCTAACTCCCACCCACTCTCTACAGAGTGGAGAGACAGCACATCTGGCTGGCATGCTGGTCATCTGAGGGAAACACCGCCTTACTGCTGTTACATCTCTATTCCCCGGTAGTACGACTTTGCCCAAAGACAGACCCCCAGCATTGTGTTTTTAGTCTAATCGCTATCCTAACAATCATCAACGCATGGGATGGTAGAACGCATGCCGGAACATTAGTTCCAACCGGTGTAGCTTGTTGCGGGTCATTGCGATATGCAAGCCCGACCGACAACCACGTCAAGGTAGCAGCTATCGATCAGGACAAAGTTCAACAGGTTTCGCCAAGTAAGTATAGAGACACCATCAATCAATAAAGCCATTAAAACTTCTCAAAAGATGCTGTTGGAACGGTTCATTCAGTTCAACGCACCACAGCTTTCATTTTATCATCATCATCCAGTTTATTATGGTTACATAGTGTATGAATATGCAAATTTACAGAGAAAAAGGGAGATATCCGAAGAATAATCTATACAAAGGGGGAATAAATACAATAGAATTTATTTGACAATGTTTAAGAGCTTCTTTTCTCCTTTCTGCTTCTTCTTCTTCCTGTTCCTCTTCTTTGTTCTCCTCTTCTTCTTCTTCTTCTTCGCCTCGCATATCATAGTGCTGGCGATTTGATGATGAAGGGAACCTGTTGCCTGGTCGTCTAATGCTTTAGACGAGCAGCTTTGATGATGAACAGAGCGGCTTGTAACTAACATTTTATCCAAACGTGCTGGGGCTGGTGGGATGGCGATTTGATAATAATTACAAATCTCCAATAGTTGTTTACGATCTTCTCCACCGGCGATAAAACTAACAGCTAGTCCAGTCCGTCCAAAACGACCAGAACGACCGATACGATGCAGATATTCACTGGTGTTTATTGGCAAGTCGAAGTTTACAACTAATCCTACTGTTTGCACGTCAATGCCTCGAGCCCACATATCACTGCTGATTAGAATACGACTGAAAATAGGAAATGAAACATGAAAACTCAAGTAAATAATAGTAATAATAATAATAATCAATAATCGATAATATGCATGGAATTATCGATTATCTGCTTCCACAACACTTTGCTAATTGAATCTACATACAATTCAATGGAGACTCATCAGCAGAAATATACTGAGAAACCGCTGATTGTCTCGCTCACAATGAAGAAACCCTTCTATGAAATAACTTTCTCTACGAAACCAATGATTCGACAATGAACGTGGACGTGGATAAGCTACCCCACTGTAGGCCAGCCTCATCAATGTGTATCTACCAATTCACCTGTGGAGAGCTAGGTGTGTCAGCCGTAGCCAGTGTTTTTTTTTATCCAAACGTATCATCCATCGAACACTTACCCCCAGAGTCATGGTTACATATAAAGGAGAAAAATGATCCCCCCTGCTCAACTCTATCCTGGAACACTTGATCAAATCTGGACACAAAACTAACCCACCTCCCAAACAACTTCCAAGTCATCTACAGAACACGTGAGAATCTCGCTAACAACAGAGTACTAATCAAACTTCTTCAAACCCCCGGCAGAAGCAATGGCAATTATTCATCACATGTTAAATCTTCAACTCTGCATACAAAAGAAGAAGTTTGTTCAAGCATTAAAAAGTCTACAGTCGACCTGATCTATCTTCTTAACACCAAATACGTAATTTTTGGTTTTGTCTTTTTTTGTTGCTTGTTTGTTTCTTCATTGTACACTGTTTTCTTCCCCCTCCCATCCCTTATTACCACTGCCGTTGACCTGACTGTCGTTCAATGATATCGCCGAAACTGAGGAGTAACTCTTTGCTGAACGCCTTTTCTTACATAACTATCCATTTACCTGCCTACCTGACAAGTGAAAGCGTTAACACACCCACTGAATTTTCAAAGGATACGACATATCAAGTTACTCAATAGCCGCACGTCTCCATTGCATTCCTTGCTCCGCCAACGCTTTCACCTGGCTCCACGTCTACTCACATGCTCTCATCTCCTCTTCACATCACCTCCTCCATATCACCCTCTCACTGACGACCAACTCACCGATTCCCATTCCGGTTCCACTTGACAAATAGCCTGACATGTGATGTCACTCACTTGATTGTTTTATTTTTCTCAGAGTATGGACACACTCCAATCAATTCACCTAACTCCATTTCTTCCTGCATATTTCTTGCACAATTGGTTCCTGCTAGAGATCCTTGTTACTGATCTCTACTGGCCGGCCATCTGATCTTGAGTAGTACTGAGCGAAGACAGCTGTTGATGAAGTCGTGTAGTTTGTTTGAAGTGCCCTTCGTGACGCCACGCGACGCGGCGTGGCGTGGCGCCAAGTCTCTGATCCGTATAGTGAGTAGCACTGACTTCACATTGGAGTTGAAAATCCGGATCTTGTTTTACATGTTAAGTGCTGGCCAGTATTATTTCTACTGTAGGACAAAGTACTAAAATTATACGTGTAAACTCATCATAGCTGATTGCTCTCAACCTCTGATGAAAGTACTGTGAAGCAGTTCTATCTACACTTCTTCATGACTGACAGACATGACTTTTGAAAAAGGGGAAGACTAGTTGTGTTTGACCGCAAATGTTTTTGTGTTTTATCTCGCGTGTTGAATCACCAAAATATACGATGAGTCATACTGCGGTTAAATTCGAAGACTTACAGGCGAAAATTAACCAGTTGGCAGGGAAGAAAGGCATTTAAGTGAACACAAAGACACGAGTGATGTGTGAAGACAATCCCAGACCAAAAACAGCAAGCACCAATCATCACTATCGTCAACGGAAGAAATTTGAAAGCGGTTACTTCACCCCTCACTTATCTAGTCAGCATCGTCTCAAACTACAGGCAACAACAGCACGGATAAGAATGTCAAAAGCAGAATCGGAGAGGCAGGACAGATATATTCAACACTCTGAAATCAGTTTGGAAATCTTCTGAACTCCGCCTCAGCATTAAACAGCAAAATTCGGATTTACAACAGCTCTGTTTAGACAGTCATTCCTACTTTAGATCTCAGAAAGTCGGCCTGCTGTAGACTTTTATCAACAGCCGGCCTTGGTGGCTGGCTCCATACTGAAGATCAGATGACCAGCCGGAAAGAATTAGCAAATAGAAACGCTGGGAATAAATCAATCATGAACCTACTGCTCAAGAAATATATAGCAAAGGAAATGGAGCTGGATCGGACATACACCGAGAAGACCGTCGAATGACATGGTGCGCAATGCAGACCATCGCTCGAGTGGAACCCTAGTGGTACACGACGAGTTGGACGTGTGTCCGAGAGTGACGCGGAGTCAGGTAAAGATGACTGCGGAGAACAGAATATGACTCATATGGACATTGTTCGCAGTGAGGCTATCAGTTCACCTGAGGCTGTGGAGCCAGCGAGGTACATTCGTCGTTCGACGCGTATCCTGTCAAAAAACGAGCCGAGAACACTATTCCACAGCATGTCCGTAGAAACGTAGTAGTGGATCTACAAAGAGGGTGATCATCATCGAACACCTTGTCAACAACAACACTAGCCATTCCATCTCAAAAAACGCCTCCTCCTGCTTCAAAGTAATCTACACACAGTCAATCAAGAATAACCTACCAAAGACAATGCGCTTTCTTCGTCTCCTTTCTATTGCTGAAGGTGTTAGCCATTCATCACTTGGAAAAACCAGAGTTATGTTGTTTACAAAAAGAAAATCATTCAACCACTTCTACTATCATGATGTTTGTGTGCCTGCTTTTGCGACTCCTTAGATCTCTTGTATTTCTTCACAACTCTTACATAATTCCATACTTTCCTCCACTTCATTTCTATGTACATCTTAATCGAAACCCACTCATTAAATTATTCATGCTATTACGCAACTACAATATACTTACTCATTCAACTGCTCTCTTATGTATTGATTAACACTGACAACTATGCTTTTTGACAACTCACCACCACCACCACTACCCTCATACTTAATCTTCACCTCTTGGCCCCCACAGTTCCAATTTGATTATTCGTCACATTTTTTTTCGATGCAGATGGAGGAGGGGAAATCAATCGACAATGAGCTTGTGAAGCAGTTACACCGATTGAGATGGATGGTTAGGACATGCGTTGCTCCCACATGCCTGCCTAGCCATCGCCTTCCTTACTCGACCGATGGGTGGGGCAATGTTAGCTGACATAGGGTCATATTGGCAAAGAGTTAGCTAGTGGTGGTGGTGGTCAAACCGAAACATGGCTTCGTCATCAGTCACTAACATACAAGACATTTAGTTCAAGCCAGCCAGCCAGCCAGCCAGTCACGTAGGGAGGTGGAGACGACCTGCTTGGGGTACTCGAGATGGTAAACACCAATGAAGGCTGGAGACAATCGGTGATATTGGCTGGCTGAAAATTGTTCTCGGTGATGACTGGCGCTGGTGCAGATGCATTCACTCTTTGTGATGACTGATCATATCCAATAAAACTCTACCGTTGTTCTTCCATATTATTCCTATTCATTTTGTCTCACTTACATTTCTGTTTATTATCTCTCCCTCTCTCTCTTTCTCTTTACTTTCTTCTCTTGCTTCGTGTGTTACATGGAGGGAGTGTTGTAGCAAGTTGAACTGTTGCACATCTGTTCAGAGTTCTACATTGAGAGCAGTCAGTCAGTCAGTCAGTCGATCAGATAGAATGGGAAAGGCAAGATACACCCTCCTCAACTTGAAACCAGTTTGGAAATCTTCTGCTTCTCTTCGCCTCAGCTAGCCTAAGAAAGAAGATTCGCATTTTCGAAACAAATATCAGAGTGAAGTCAGCCAGTCAGCCAGTGAGTTAGTGCTTCCCTATAGGGGTTAGGAACTTGGTTAGAGTGTCACGGAAAGCATTTTCAACATCTGACACCTTCGCTGGCTGGTTGGCTGGCTGGCCGACTCTATACTCAAGATCAAATGTCCAGTCGGCCAGAAAGAATTAGCAACAAGAAACTCTGGCTGGTGATGGGTGAACCAACCAAGAGACGTCGATTGCTCAACAAATATGCGGGAGAAAATGGCGATGGAGTGATAGAGCATACGTTGAGGAAGGAGGTCGTCGAATGACAACGGGCGCAATGCAGGCTGTCGCTCGATTGGAATCCCTATGAGAAGCGACGGATCGCCGATGCGAGGGTAACATGGAGGAGATTGTGTGTGGGGGAGTTGGATGAGGAGATGAGACATTATGGGGAATCGTGGGGCTAGCCATGTGAAGAGGACAGTAGAAAACAGAAGAAAGTGGAGATATGTTGTTGAAGTCATTCATATGTTTCACTCGGAACCCTAGGGAATAATACTAAAATAATAATAATAATAATACCCGCTATAATAACAACAAATACAGGTAAAGAAAAAGCATCCCGTGTGGAAAAAAATACAAAAAAAATTACCATTCTCCTGAACGAAACTGTTTCATAACTGATTCTCGTTGAACTTGATCCAGATCACCATGAGCACAGGCGACGGTGAAACCTTCTCGATTCAATTGGCTAGCAAGCCAGTCAACTTTTCGTCGTGTATTTACAAAAACAACAGTTTGTGAAACACAAACACTAGAGAAAAGATCACTTAACGCCTCAAATTTCCATTCTTCTGAGCCAACATCAATATAGAATTGTTGTAGACCAGAAAGGCTTAACTCATCTCTATTAATAAAAAAATAAAATAAAATAAAATGTAAGATGAACACGTGAAAATTTGATGAAGACATATACATGTGTACAACTGACAACGTTAACAGCACTACTCATTTATTGGAACACGTAGTGTTTCGTCACAACTATGTCACAACCATGACGTCCGTCAGGTATAGTTGAACACCGACTTATTTTGTGATGTGAGCTGTCCTAGATAAAATATTTATAGACTTCATACAATTCTTCCCATTGATAAATTTGAACAAAACAAGAGGGATAAATATGCGTCGGTGGCACAGTGGCGGTTAGGACTCTCGCCGACTATGCACATGGTCCGGGGTTCGATCCCCTGCCGACGCACACCCGATATCTATGGTCGGCCTGCGAAATTGGGCCACCGTTATCACATGCTGAAAATTCCATACTTGTATCGAAAATACGGTGTGGAATCAAGCTATAATAATAACAAAAAAATGAGCTCATCTTTAATTACTTCGAAGATTCTTCTCAACTGGTTTTACAACCTCCTCGGGACTTGTATCAACTTCACGTTACCTTCAACTGTGTCTACCAATTGAGATGGACGTGCCAAAGCACAAAAACACCGGGAGAACAGAGAGAAAAGAGTTGTTGTCCATATTTCTAAATACACTGCAAAGATTCTGAGACTAAAGGACCGACAAGCACGCCATCTGTTGAACAACACTGGTCACAACATATGCTGTGGACAGTTCGAAGATGTTCATAGAAATCAACAGGCAAAAGACACCTAAAACAATTAGTCACTTTGATAAATTTGAATAAGGCAATTAGCAGACAAATTTGGCGAGATGATATCATGATTAGCCTACTATTTCAAGGGTGATCAAATTATGCAGTTGACAGTTAGCTCAAAGAATTCGGTCAGCAGTCAAGCGCACATTCCACATGCCGCATTTCTTTCCCTCACATGTCGAACATTTTCGCCCCCTGTATCTACCTACGATTAAAGGGCGAAATAATGGATATCCTAGAAGGTTTATTGACACAAAAACATCAAGAAGGAAACCGTCTCCAGTCCAACAAATCACAGTGGTAAAGAAGATACTGATTATGAGTTTGCCTTTCAAAGGTGACACTATTACTGAAGTGATTACAAGTCGTTTATCTAAATGTATTAAACGCCTTTTTTATATGCAGTTGACTTAAATTTAGTATTTACCAGCCGAAATATGATTCGACAATGCGTCAAAGATAAACTACCGCTTATGTGCGTCCACCTCTATGTGCATATATACGCATTCACATGCGCCCGTGTGGAGCTGATTACATTGGACGTTGTACGTGTGTTCTCCATAAACGCATAGCGCTGAACACTAAGCGGTTTGGTTAATGAAAGGTGGGCAAAGGACGACAAAGTCTTCAAGTTGTGAACACCTCCTGCTGCTGGAGTTAGCTGATTCAGCCACCCCCCCACACACACACACACGTGATTTATCCTTTAAAACAAAACAAAAAAACTTACCTTGTGTCACGACGTTTTGCCGAGAGAATCACCACCATCATCAAACGATTAAAACCCCGAATCTATGTAGACAGTGTGGTGAATGTTTCACTGGCCTAGTGAGACAACAAAGTATGCAAAATTTTATTACCTTTTCTTCTGTCCTGTTTAGAAAAGAATTTTACTGTTCCAACTATACATTTTTTTCCTTCACGTTCCCCAGTGGGACATAAGGCTTCAAGCTAGTGGCTAGTGTTGATTATTTTTACAGGATGGGGTTGCTAGCCACCTCATGCCCAACCTTTCGTCTTCACCAGCATTATTTCTGGCTTAGCGAGGTAAAGGGGTGCATCCGTGGCCGGCCGGGGATCGAACTCCGGACCATGTGCATGGTCGGAGAGCGTCTTAACCACTATGCCACCGACGCACATCTATACATGATTTACCCTAAACATTCCTACCCTTGTTTTCCTGTTTTATAAAACATATTTTCTGTGGTTACGTAACCTATTTTATGTGTTATGTTCCTTCTAGTTTAACTCTGTTTTTTTTTCAAACAACAAAATATTTGTTGAGCTCTACTGTCCTTTTGTTTCCCAGTTTAGTCGTGCATTTCTTCTGTAAATAGTCGGTCTTTGTAACTCTCCTGATTATTTAATAACTTACTATATCATTCCTGACCAATACTACTCTTAAAGTTCCATCCGTTGCAACAGCACCAACGGATTGATTGGTGACGAAATCTCAGCACGGATCCGATCCAAAAAGCTCGAGCTGCTTTCGCTAACTTACACCATCTCTGGCGTAGGCGTGACATCCGACTGTCAAACAAGGGACGTGTGTACTGCTCAGCAGTTCGCTCCGTCCTTCTCTATGGCTCTGAAACATGGCCAATACGAGTTGAAGACATGAAAAGGTTGACTGTTTTCGATCATAGATGTCTACGACCTCTTTCTCACGTTAGGTGGTATAATAAGGTAAGTAATGTTGACGTTAGGCGTAGAGTGTTGGGCAAAGAGGGAAAATCAATCCACGAGGCTATAAAGTTACACAGATTGAGATGGCTAGGTCACGTGATGCGCATGCCTAACCATCGCCTTCCCCTCCTGACGGGCGTTACTAGGTGATATAGGTGCAGGTTGGTAAAGAGTAAGCGGTGGCTAAACAAAAACATGGCCTCATCAATCCATGAAATCCTTGACAGTTAAACTGAGTCAGTCAGGTATGGAGATGCAGACTTCCGGGTTGGGGTCCTCGGGACTTTAAGAATCAATGGCTGGAAACAATAGGTGACATGGCTCAAAATCGTTGTCAATAGCTTACGCAGATGTATTCACTCTCTTGTGTAATCTTTCATATTCCTTTCTACCATTACTCATTCTGTTTCACTCTTATACTTGTCAAAACTCTATTGATTCTCTTCACTCATTTTCTTGTCTACCTTTGTGTGCTATTTGGAACGTGGCAACTCGAACTGCTGCACTTCGGTGCCAAGTTCTATGTTGAATCCAGACAGAGACAGACAGTAAAGTTCCAATCAATGACTCCTTATCCATATGGAAAAAGTATATTCGAATCTTTAATGTAAGCAACAGGTTGGCAGAAGAAGCATCCAGATAAGATAGGACTTCAGGTGAACATTGCGAAAACAGAGGTGATGATGAAGATTTCTGGGCAACACCAACAGCGACAACAACAACAGACAACAATCAGCATAAATGGAAGGAATCTGAAAGAAGTAACCTCCTTTACCTACATACCTACATACCTAGGAAGTGTCGTTTCAACTACAGGCGGACGGAACTGATGAAAAGATATCAAAGCAAGGATCGAAAAAGCAAGGCAAGCTTTCATTACTCTCAAGTCTGTATGGAGATAAACAGCACTCAGCATGAAAAATAAGATCCAGATTTTCAACTCCAATGTGAAGTCAGTGCTACGCACTATATGAATCGGAGAATTGGCACCACGCCACACCGCGTCACGAAGGGCACTTCGAACAAACTACACGACTTCATCAACAGCTGTCTTCGCTCAGTACTACTCAAGATGAGATGGTCGGCCAGAAGAGATCAGTAACAAGGATCTCTAGCAACTAGCAGTCTCTAGCAGGAACCAACTGTGCAAGAAATATGCAGGAAGAAATGGAGTTAGGTGGATTGATTGGATTGTGTCCATATTCTGAGAAAAATAAAACAATCAAGTGGGTGACATCACATGTCAGGCTATTTGTCAAGTGGAACCGGAATGGGAATCGGTGAGTTGGTCGTCAGTGAGAGGGTGATATGGAGGAGGCGATGCGAAGGGGACATGAAAGCATGTGAGTAGACGTGGAGCCAGGTGAAAGCGTTGGCGGAGAACCAAACGCAATGGAGACGTGCAGCTGAAGCCCTATGTTCCTCTAGGAACTAAAGGAAACAATAAATAATAATAACCTTTAATGTAATTTTCGATACATAAAGAAAAACCAGATTTGTAGTATAAGCATGAATTATTAAGGATACTGTACAACAGAGTCGCCTAGCAAGGTGGAAGAAGAATCAGGCCTTGTTGAAAAATGCCTAAGTGAAAAATGGATATCCAAAGAGATTTATCCAATAGTACAGCAAAGAAAAAAAACGAAGTGTTCATTTGTTGTCTCCCACTCAGAAAGGAGATGCAGTAACACAAAAAGCGATTGACAAGAGAATGAAAGGAGTCATAAAAAGACGCCGCCCTGCAGCTCGTAAACCTCGTAAAGTTTGCTATACAGCACACAGTACCGCATGCTCTCTCTATAAGCCAATCTGATCTGGATAAGTACCCCACTGATGTCACCTTCACCAACTGCACTTGGGAAATTTACGTGCCGTTGCCGGAGCCAGTACACATTGGAAGGACAGAAAGAAGAGCATATCCCAGGAAACTGACGTCTAAAAGGAGGCAGATATTTGTTAAAGTGTAACTACCAGACACACTTTGTCGATACGGGTCACTTTTTGTCGAGATTTCTAAATCTTTTAAAATATACAGCAAGCATTCAAAGGATAACAAATTTACCACCACGATTCACAGCTGAAGCAATTGCAATCAAACGTTTCAAACCGAACTAATGCATATAGAAAAAGAGTGTGTAATCAATCTCTCACTCACTCACTCACTCACTTGGTAGCTGTATTTTGATTATACACTCTGATTAGTTACCACGCTAACGCGGTTTATTCGACTTTTCTGTTGTTGTTCTTTTTTTTTTTATCTTCTCCTACCCACTCCCCTCCTTTTCTATTCTGAAAGGTATATGAATTGAGGTGTCAACTTAAACCCAAATTTGTAATGCTGCTTATATTTTTCCAAAGCCACTGTTTGTACTGTCTCTTCTTTCTGCCCAGGACTTCCATGCAGGTTTGACTCCACACCGCTTTCAGGTTGTCCCAGTGCTTTAACAGCGAGGATAGGCAAGTGAAAAGCAACAAGTCGGCAGAAGAAGCATCAAAAATAGGACTCCAAGTACACATGGAGGGAACAAGGGTGATAAAAATTCCTGGCCAACACCAACAGCGACACCAACAACACACAGCAGTCAGTATGAATGGGAGGAACTTGAAAGAAACAACCTCCTTTACCTACCTGGTAAGCATCGTTTCAACTACAGGCGGACTGAACTGATGAGGATATCAAAGCAAGGATCGGAAAAGCAAGTCTGTGTGGAGGTCAACAGCACTCAGCATGAAAATGAAAATAAGATCCGGATTTTCAACTCCAATGTGAAGTCAGTGCTACTCACTATACGGATCAGAGACTTGGCCGGCGCGTCATAAAGAGCATCTCAAACAAACTACAGACCTTTAGCAACAGCTGTCTTAGCTCAATACTAATGAAGATCAGATGGCCGGCCAGAAAAGATCAACAACAAGGTGGGATCTCTGGCAATGAGCAAACCAACCAACACAGCAGGAATTGATTGTGCAACAAATAAACAGAAAGAAATGGAGGTGGATTGGCCATACTCTGCGAAAAAAACCATCAAGTGACATCACTAGACAAGCCCTCACTCAAGTGCAACCCGAAAGGGAAGCGGCGAGTTGGTCATCAGTGCGAGGGTGGGTGACTTGGAGGAGGTCATGTGAAGAGGAGATGAAAACGTATGGGCAGAATTGGAGCCAGGTGAAAACTTTAGCAGAGAACTGAACGCAATGGAGACGTGCAGCTGAAGCCCTAAGTTCCTCTAGGAATTAAAGGAAATAATAATAATAATAGTAAATTATATTTCGGATGCGTTGATTTTAATGTTTTCTTTACTACTACTGCAGGTAGCCCTGGATGACGCGGGTTCGAACCTCAGAAAGAACATGAGTTGGTTCCTTCAAGTTGGTTGCAGCTACGCCTTGCTGACGAGTGGTGAGTGTTAGCTAGCACTAAACCTAGGTGGAAGACTTCCTGTGGTGGCCGATTAACTCTAACAGTCTAATATCAATAGCAGGAAAAAGCTCATTTCATTTGACCACTAAATATGGATGCCTAAAGATGAATACTGAGACTGATTGAATGGTTGCATCTACAATTCAGTTGGTTGGTTGGTTGGTTGTAGAAGAATTCTAGACATTAGTAAAACAAAACAAAACAAGACTATTTGGTAGCCATCAACTTCTACCATTACAGATGATAAGGTTTTCAATTACTATTACAGTACTAGTTCACCATGTTTTATTCAACCATGCGACTATATTACTATTCCCTCGGGTTCCGAGTGGAACATATGACTTCAACAACACAACTCCGCTTTCTTCTATTCTCTGTTGTCCTCTTCACCTGGTTAGCCCCACGATTCCCCATAATGTCTCATCTCCTCATCCAACTCCCCCACACACAATCTCCTCCATGTTACCCTCGCATCGGCGATCCGTCGCTTCTCATAAGGATTCCACTCGAGCGACAGCCTGCATTGCGCCCGTTGTCATTCGATGGCCTCCTTCCTCAACGTATGCTCTATCACTCCATCGCCATTTTCTCCCGCATATTTGTTGAGCAATCGACGTCTCTTAGTTGGTTCACCCATCACCAGCCAGAGTTTCTTGTTGCTAATTCTTTCTGGCCGGCTGGATATTTGATCTTGAGTATGGAGTCGGCCAGCCAGCCAGCGAAGGTGTCAGATGTTGAAAATGCTTTCCGTGACACTCTAACCAAGTTCCTAACCCCTATAGGGAAGCACTAACTCACTGGCTGACTGGCTGACTTCACTGATATTTGTTTCGAAAATGCGAATCTTCTTCTTTAGGCTAGCTGAGGCGAAGAGAAGCAGAAGATTTCCAAACTGGTTTCAAGTTGAGGAGGGTGTATCTTGCCTTTCCCATTCTATCTGATCGACTGACTGACTGACTGACTGCTCTCAATGTAGAACTCTGAACAGATGTGCAACAGTTCAACTTGCTACAACACTCCCTCCATGTAACACACGAAGCAAGAGAAGAAAGTAAAGAGAGAGAGAGAGAGGGAGAGATAATAAACAGAAATGTAAGTGAGACAAAAAGAATAGGAATAATATGGAAGAACAACGACAGAGTTTTATTGGATATGATCAGTCATCACAAAGAGTGAATGCATCTGCACCAGCGCCAGTCATCACCGAGAACAATTTTCAGCCAGCCAACATCACCGATTGTCTCCAGCCTTTATTGGTTCTCACCACCATCCTGACAACCCAAACCAGGCAGTTAGTCAGGAAGTCTACACCTCCTTACATGACTGGCTGGCTGGCTTAAACTAACTGTTGTGGATTTCATTGACTGATAATGAAGTCATTTTTTGGTTTGATCACCACCATCACCACCACCAACATTAATAGCTGATTCTTTGTCAACCTGATCCATCTTATGTTAGTCACTGGCTAACATTGCTGATTGAGGAAGGTGTTGGCTATTCATGTATGCGTAACACCTGTCCTAACCATTTCAATCGGTGTAACTGCTTCACAACCTCATTGTCGATTGATTTCCTCTTCGCATCCTCCTCCTTCCTCACCTAGCCTCACCTCAATATTGCTCAACACCCTGTTAAAGCTAACACCTACATCACCTAACAGCACGGGAGATAGAACGCAGACACCTATGATCGAACACGGCTAGCTAGCTAGCCTGACTTTTCATATCTTCCACTTTCAATGGCCATGTCTCATAGCCAACCAGCAGGATATCACGTCTACTAAGCATACCAGAGAGATGGCGTTAGTTGGGTTGGCTGAAAAATGTCAAACAAGCCTTCTATACATGTGTGCTGAGATTTCGTCGGCGATGAACTCGCTGGAGTTGGCTGATGCAACTTCCCAGCCAGCCAGCCACCACTTCACTCTTGCCGGTCGATCTTTAATCTAGGAGTAGTCGATGTTGTCCAGTCATCTTGTAGCCTTATCGTCTTACCTTCGCCAATAGCAGCAGGAGAGAATCGCTCCCATGCCAAACATTCATTCAAAGGTTGGTGTGCTCCAACTCAAGGTGTTCAGAAGACTCTGCTGCAGCATTTTGTCAGCGTGTTCATCCACTTGGGAGGACTATATCATCGTCAGTAACAAGTGGATCGCTGAGTCGCTGAAGTCAGTCAGAGTTAGGGTTAAGTCAATTAGCACATGGATTTATGATGAAATTAAAAAAAGAAAAAAAAGAAATGACGACAGTCAGGGGAGAGTCCCTGACGGACGGACGGACGGACGGACACCACCACAACTTATTATATAGCAAAAAATAAATAAAGAAAATCACCTTGGTACAAGAATTCGAACAGGATTGCATGTGAAATTTTGAAACAATTCCAAATGTTCTTTAGGCATAGTGGCTGAAACAATCACTACCTGACAGTGAAGAGATTTCCTTCTATTAGTATTATCCAAGCCAATATGAGATGGAAGTCGACGATATATTTCTTCTAACTGGTCACGTAAACCTCTGTTCAACATTTCATCAGCTTCATCCAAGACTAAAGAACGAAGTTTGTGTAAGCGTAAATTACCCTGTCGAACAAGCTCTGAAGTGTAGAAGAGGAAAATAATAATAATAATAATAATAATAAACAGAACAGACAAAATCAGTGGTGTGACATAAAAACAAAAACACACACACTCTTTAACGAATTTAAATTGACTGAAACAAGGGTCACTAAAAAAAAGATTAAAGAAATCTATAAAAGAAAAAGGCGAAAAAGGATTGATTGAGTGAGTGAATGATAGATCCCCTCATCTCCCACTGACTCCACTACTCTAATACAAAATATAATTGAACCAGCAAAGAATATCCCCCCCCCCTTTTCGATAAATTCCTCCTCCTCTTCTCGCTCTGCAATTATATCTATTATATATGCATATTTATTTATATACATAGAATATTCTAGATTGGTAGTCAGTAACAACATATTAGTGTGTGCCTTTTAAATAGTAATATCGATTTGTAAAGTAAGATCACAATGGAATCACCACAGTTCATCAAAGATGCTTAAATAATAATTATTATTATTATTATAAAGATATGGTAGCAAATAGAATATCAACTAAAATTCAGGATCATTTAAACCTGGATAGCCAAGCCAAGAGGTAAGGATAATGTCTGAACCAACCAACTTCTTTTGGATGCACAAATTGGGCTTGCTAATATGGATCCCAACGGCCAGCCAGCCAACAAGCCTCAGGAATATTTAGTAGTCGAACTCTTAAGGCGAAATTGAGGTTCGTAGGTATGCGGTAAATGACTCTGAAAGCTACATGGTTAACGTCAATCAGTCTTGTGTTGTGTATCCACAAGATGAGATAGAATAGCGCTGCGAATAGATTTTGTTTGTCCTTTGCTTAACCAACCACTGTTCAGGGTGGGTGATGTTCGGAAATTCGACGAGAAACACGCCTAATTTTACGACCTATGCAAGTAACTGGCTCACTCCACATGGGAGCAGTTAAACTGGTAGATACACAAACATGGAAGAGGCGAAATTAGTCAGTTTGTCTTTTACTCCTGAACGCAAAAGAGGAGTGGTTTTGAAGACACAGCGTAATTCGGCAGCAGGACGGAATGCTCTTTTTACCGCCTCATTTCTCAGGCGCTGTGTCAGTATCTCGCTGATGTTGTCCCCGAGGAACTGACTGCATTTGTAAGAATAAGGCCTTCCTTTTTCGGAACTGTTGGTACCTTGGGCTGCCTTGATTTTAGATTCATATTTTCATCAATAAACTTTTCTGGATGACCATTTTCACTCAGCAATCGTTTAATATTGTTAAGTTCCTCATCAAGACATTCATCCGAGCAAATTGCTCTTGCTCTGTGAACCAAGCACTTTATCAGCACGAAGCTGAGAAAATGAGTATACTGACAGGCAGTTGATGTAGGTTTTCTATATACATTTCTTCTTCTTATTGTGCCATCTTCTTTTCTGGTCGTAAGGACGTCTAGAAATGAGATACTAGAACCATTTTCTTTCTCAATAGTAAAATTTATTGCAGGATAAAACTCATTGAATTTATCCAGGATGTTCTTTACTTCCTTCTCATTTTTCAAAATCAAAAATGTATCATCCGTATACCGACAATAGAATTCAAGTTCATTAATAACATCCTTCAAAGGCCCATTTTCTAGTTTCGCAAGGAAAATGTCGGCTAGAATGGATCCTAGTGGTGACCCCATTGCCACACCGTCGATTTGTCTATATAGTTCCTTATTAAATAAAAAGTGGACATTCATGATACATTTCAAGAGAAAATCTTTCATAAAAGATATAGGAATGTCAACATCGATGTTTTGTCCAATGAGTTCTTCGCATACAAAGTCCACTGTTTCCATAAGTGGTACAGTGGTGAATAAGGAGGATACATCAAATGATATCATGAATTTATTGTCAACATTTATATCTTTTATCCTTTCAACAAATCCAAAAGTATCCCTTTACACTGTGTTTCAACAACTTGGTATGAAGAGGCTGTAAGAGTTCGACTAACCATTTGGCTACGGGTTGGTATGGTGAATTTAACATATCTATTACTGGTTGAAGCGGTACACAAATTTTGTGCACTTTAGGCGAGCCATATAGTCTTGGTGTGAACGTTCCAGATGAAGCCTTGTTCTTTCAGTCTTCTCAATGTTTCCGCTAGCTGTTTCTCTATATCTTTTCAATCGGATCCAGAGAAGAGGAGATTTTTTGGAATTTCAGATTATCATCAAGAATAGTATTCATCCTCTCAAAGTAATCCAATTTGTTCATGATAACCACTCCTGAGCCTTTATCCTGGCGGTCTTGTTATTATTATGTTATCATTTTTACGGAGAACATTCAGAGCTTCTCTATATTTTTTGGTCAAAATACTATCCGAATTGTGTTTACTACTCATATCTGTCTGTCTGTTTTCGACATAGAGCTTTGCACTGATGTGCAGCAGTTCAAGTCGCCACACTCTCTCCAAATAGCACACAAAGCAAGAGAAGAAAGTAGAAGAAAAGCATAATAGAGAGACAGTAAACAGAGGAGTGAGACAAAGGAATAGTAATAACGAAGAACAATATAGTTTCACTGGAAATCATAAATCACAAGGAGTGGATGCATCTGCGCCAGCCAGCCATTGAGAACGATGAGTTTGAGCCATATAACAAATTGTCGCAGGCACCTATGATCAAAGACAGCTAGTGTGTTCATGTCTTCCACTCTCAATGGCCAGGTCTCACAGCCATAAAGGAGGACGGAACGCACTGATGAGCAGTACACACGCCTTTTGGTCGATAACCAGCCAGATATCACGTCTACTAAGCCAGAGACGGCGTAAACTGGCATATGCGAAACTAGCCCTCTGTGTATCCGTACTCAGCTGAGATTTCGCCAGCGATCAACCCATTGGCACTGGCTGATGGTACTTCCCAAATAAGTGAAGCCGTCAAAGTGCTCCACCAACCACTTCACTTCCTATTTCTAAACTAGGAGTCAGTGTAGTCCATTCCTGTAACATCATCTTACATTTGACAGCAGGAGCGAATCGTTCGCATACCAAACATTCGTAGATTGCAGCTCAAGGTGTTCAGAAGACCGTTTCTGCATTTTGTCAGCGTCCTCGCCTAGAAGGAGGACTATATCGTCTGCATATATTCATGTAATAATAGCAACAATCGACCAGTGTTGTTGATTCAAGTCTGTCAACATCTTAATCACAACAATACACACAACATTCCACCAATCAAGTAGCATTTATGTGTGTGTTAACACACAAAATTGGTCAGTATCAACGTGTCAGCTGGAGAGGGTAGAAATGGTTACAACAAGTGGATTGCATAATGCACAATTCTCGAAAAATGAAGATGATATAAACACAAAGAAGGAGTATGTGTAGGTATAGGAAACCTACAACAACAGGTCAGTACACTCACTTTTTGAGTTTTGTACCTTTGAAATATAAACACGTAACTTGCTGAAGTGTCTGGTTCATACAGCTGGGATAATCTGTTCAAACAACTGCCTCAATGAGAGAGGAGCCTAAGATTATCAGAGAATTACTTAGAAAAAAATGGTTATTCAGATAAATTCATTGAGAAAAATATGAATTCAGTACCAAGGAGAGTCAGTATGGCTACAGTTCCGAAAAAACCAATGTTCATAAAACTACAGTTCCTCGGTGATAACACCAGTGAAATAATAACACAGCGAACACCTGAAGAATGCAGTTAAAAGAGCTTACTATGCACTAGAGGTACGCCGTCTCTTCACAACCAGCCCTATTCTACGTTCGAGAAATAAGGATAAACTACCTAAATTTGCCTCTTCTATGTGTATCTAACAGTTTGACTGCAGCTGCAGAGCCAGCTACATCGGGGGGGGGGGGGGGCGTACAATTAGGCAGGTTCATCATCGTATTTCCTAACATCATCCAATATGGTTAAGCAAGGGAGGACAAACAAGATCTATTCGTAGCTCCATTTTAGCACACCTTGTAGGCAGTGAGCACAAGATTGATGTTAATACAGCATTTAAAATTATCTACCGCATTCCTACTAATCTTAATTTTGCTCTACGAGTTCGTCTTCTACAGACAGCTAAAGCCATAGGAATCTACCTGAAGAAGGCAAACCTGTGCGTGTGTTCAGAAGAAATTCGTAGAGCCACTTCGCGTGCCTTGACCATCGTTACATGAACGTATCAATCGAACTACTTCGACCTCCTTGTAAATCTTTCAAAAAATTATAATTGTTCAAATTATTTTATTACCTTTACTGACTACTTCACCTTTAACTACAAGTTATCATTGTCCACCACCTACAACGCGCCCAACAATACCAACGACGGAGACAGAGCTACCAGTGAACACCAATCCCCCGACGAAATCAGAAGTCCTGAAGGCAATCAAGATGCTAAAAGCTGGAAAAGCAGCACAACCAGATGGAATCCCAGCAGAAGCATTGAAAATGCACCCAGAGACAACAGCGGAATTGATGACACCACTACTGGAGAAGGTGTGGAAAGAAGGCAAAGTACCCGAGGATTGGAAGAAAGGATACTTATTCAAACTACCAAAGAAAGGAGACTTAAGTCAATGCAAGAACTGGCGCGGAATTATGCTCCTGTCCATCCCAAGCAAAATACTAAGCCACATCATCCTGGAGAGAATCAAACATGCCAACCTGGATGAAAAACTTCAACCGGAACAAGCTGGATTCAGGAGAAACAAGTCATGCATTGATCAGATCACCACATTACGGATCATCATTGAACAAAGCCTGCTTGGAATGGCAGTCAGCTCTCAATCTCAACTTCATCGACTTTGAAAAGGCCTTCGACAGTGTCGATCGAGGAACAGACTTGGAGCCAGGTGAAGACTCTAGCAGAGAACCGAACGCAATGGAGACGCACGGCTGAAGCCCTATATTCCTCTAGGAATTGAAGGAAACAATAATAATAAATAGTTTTATTTTTCTTTAATCATCTGTTACGTAATCAACCTGAACACCCACTTAATCCTTGATCACTCTTCATTTTTCCAAAATTAAACTTTAGAGTTTAAAAACCATCAGAAGATTTCAACTGACTTATTTTCATAAATGTTCGCACACTGACATAAGATTTTTGTGTTTTTTTTTCAAAATATAAATGAAATTCTTAGTCTCATGATCTCAGCAATTGATCACAATTAGCCGAAGCGAACAAAACACAAACTTTGATCTGATGTGTCGATTGAACAACACAGCTAGAGCACTAGACAGGGGTAGTGTAATTTGAAAATGTGTTTATTAGATTCGACGGACACGGCAATTAGTATTCCCTTGAGTTCCTAGTGAAATGAATATACGACTTCAGCAAAATATCTCCATCTCATTCTGCTTTCTACACTCCTACACCCACACTCCTACACACATGAAAAGGCCAGCTAATTGTATTTGATCATAAGTGTCTGCGTTCTATCTCCCGTGCTGTTAGGTGATGTAGGTGTGTAACAGGGTGGTGAGCAAGCAGTATTGAGGTGAGGCATCAATTGGTCGGTCAACTGCTAGGTAAGGAAGGAGGGGGAGGAGGTGGAGGGGAAATCAATCGACAATGAAGTTGCGAAGCAGCAGTTACACCACTTTAGATGGATGGTTAGGACATGTGTGTTGCTGACGCATTCATGCCTGCCTAGCCATCGCCTTCCTCGACAACGGGCGGGGCGATGTCAGCCACTGACATAGTATCGATCAGGTTGAAAAGGAGTTAGCCAGTGGTGATCAAAAGAAAACAATGAAATCCACAACAGTTAGTTTAAGCCAGCCAGCCAGTCATGTAGGGAGGTGTGGTTGGGGTCCTCGGGATGGTAAAATCCAATGAAGACTGGGGACAATCAGTGATGTTGGCTGGCTCAAAATTGTTCTCGGTGATGACTGGCGCTGGTGCAGATGCATTCACTCTTTGTGATGACTGATCATATCCAATAAAACTCTGTCGTTGTTCTTCCATATTATTCCTATTCTTTTTGTCTCACTTACATTTCTGTTTATTATCTCTCCCTCTCTCTCTCTCTCTATCTCTTTACTTTCTTCTCTTGCTTCGTGTGTTACATGGAGGGAGTGTTGTAGCAAGTTGAACTGTTGCACATCTGTTCAGAGTTCTACATTGAGAGCAGTCAGTCGGCCATACTACTTGTTAGCTGGCTCCACAATTGCCCATAAGCTTTCGGTTTCTCCACACACACACACGATCTCCTCCATGTCACCTTAAGATCCACGCCCAACTCGTCGTTTCCTATTCGGGTTCTACTTGAGGGTCTACTCTCAGCAAGTGATGTCAATCAACCGTCTCCTTAGAGTATGCCTGACCCATCTCCCCAGCCTTCCACATATTTGCTGGGCCATAGTCTCCGCTGACTTGACATCAGTGCTGAAAATTCGGATTCAGCCGTATGTGCTGAGTGCAGTAGATTGGCAGTTAAACTTGCTTCTTTGATATTGGCTGACTTTGACATCCTCATCTGTGATGTGTGTGTGTGTGTGTGTGTGTAGCTGTGAATCGACATTGCCCAAATAATATAATCAAGCTGAATGTAGATTGGCTTTTCTCCTACTGTGATTTGTTTTACATTTGTGACTTCAAATCTTCCATACTTGTTGATGAACGTTTGAGGGTACCCATTGTTCTTCAATATCTTTTCAAGAAACTCAAATTCTTCCTCTAATTTCTCTGTAGAGCATATTCTCCTAGCTCTATAGTACAGAGTCTTGACTAGTCCGTGTTTAAAGCTATTTGTACGAAAGCTATTAAAATGAAAGTATTGTCCTTCCCATGTGGGCTTTTGATAAATTGACTTTTGAAGACTACCGTCTTCTAGGCGTTCCATGGCAATGTCGAGGAAGTGGAAATTTCCGTCACTTTCATGTTCCATAGTAAACTCGATATTGGTGTGTGCATCATTGAATAATCTGAGTAAGTGAGAAGCATGACTTTCATTGTTGCACACTACAAATGTGTCATCAACATATCGACATTAGGAAGTTGTTTCGTCGATTGTACGCTTCAACTTTGTTCTTTCAAGGTTGGACATGAATATATTATACCTGCTAAAACAAGTACAAGTATGTTAAAATTGTTTTTGTAGATATACTTAATAATGACTGTGGCCTGTAAGCAGCTGACGAGAAGGCAACGAAATAAACAAAAGATGGTACCATTTTATTCTGCAAAACCACTGTAGTTCTTGCTTTGTTCAAATTCATTAAGGCGGGGGTGGGGGAATAAATGTATGAAATTGCCAATGATTTCATGGACAAATTCCATGTTTTCGTTTAACAACCACTACTACTAACTCTTTTCCAAACTCATCTTATGTCAGCTAAAATTTCTGATCGAGGAAGCCGACAACTAAGTATGCGTAACACATAGAGTCTAGCCATCTCAATTGATGTAGATATTCACACACACACACAGCCTCATCGATTAGCTTCCCCTCAAACCTCAATAAATATTACTCACCGCATTATACCAACTAACTAACACGGGAGATAGACACACAGACACCTGCAATCAAGGACAGAGCTAGCTAGCTAGCTAGCTTCCGAATACGTGAAGTGGTGGGCAGTCAACACGTTCTACCCCCCCTTTACTGCCTGCCTATTTTTAACCTGCGCAGTCGGAGTACAACATGAATCCTGCAGAGTGAAATTACATGCTAAAAACACTCGAAGATGACTGTCCAAGGTGTTCAGAAGAGACTGTGTTTCCTCAGCGTCTTCATCATCATCATCATCATCGGCATACATATTCTAAGTGAACAAAAGTAACACATTTAAGAATAAACCGGCAAGACCACCAACCTACACACATACACATACCTAACACTCGACCTGGTGTTCCAACTACAATATGATGAACACCTTTATCCAGTTCACGAGCCATTTGCATTGTGTTGTTTCGTCCACCACAACATGCTATACATCTGACAGATAGGTAATCAGACAACGATGATATAACCTGCAACACCAAAATAAGTTAGCATTTCATAATTAAGAACTACAACATATGTATATATATATATATATACATTAACAGATAACTTTGTAGAAAAGCACAACACCTCAAGTTGCTACAATTCATAACAGCGAACCTAGTAAGGTTAAAAAATGCCAAAAACAAACCTATAATAAACGGAAATCTGTAGAGGAAAAAGATAATCACATGAAGAAACATGAGGATTTAATCCCGTCGGTAAAGATCGATCACGAAGAGTAAATGCATATGTGATAATGAAAACGGTTTCGAACCATATCTCAGCAATAACAAATAGTCCCCAGTCATTGGATCTTAAACTCTAGCCAGACAGCCACACATCCCCCTCTATATGGTCCAATGCGCCTAAATCATTAATATGGAGTTATCAAAAAAACAAGCACACAAACATCAAGCCAGTAGGAGTAAATACGGTTGTTTCCACGGTAGTAGTAGTAGTAGTAGTAGTAGTAGTAGTAGTAGTAGTAGTAGTAGAAGTGGTTGAATGATTTTCTTTTTGTAAACAACATAACTCTGGTTTTTCCAAGTGATGAATGGCTAACACCTTCAGCAATAGAAAGGAGACGAAGAAAGCGCATTGTCTTTGGTAGGTTATTCTTGATTGACTGTGTGTAGATTACTTTGAAGCAGGAGGAGGCGTTTGTTGAGATGGAATGGCTAGTGTTGTTGTTGACAAGGTGTTCGATGATGATCATACTCCTTGTAGAGCCACTACTACTACTACTTTTTTGCAGTCATGCTGTGGGATAGTTTCCTCAGTTCGTTTTTTGACAGGATACGCGTTGAACGACCAATCTACCTGAATCCACAGCAACAGGTGAACTGATATGTGCACACAGAAGTGGTCCCTAAGGCTTCAGCAAACCAATGAACGACTGGGGAACACTACCCTTAGCGTTGCTGCGAAGAATGTTCTTCTCAGAAATGCTGAAATTCTTCCCTTGGGGGTGTCGTTAGCTAGGTCTCCCATTTCAGACTCTTTGTACCATTTGTAATTTTAAGAACTCTCACATAATTCTATAATTTCCTTCGCTCCATTTCTATGCGCATTCTAATCACAACTCACTCATCAAAGTATTCGGCTTATTACGTAACTATGATACACTTATTCAACTTCTCTTATGTTGGTTAGCATTAATAGCTGCTTTTGACAACGCATCACCACTAGCCTCTTACCAATCTTCACCCCACCCCCCAAGTTACAATCTGACTATTTATCATATTTTTGAAACGTATTGACAACAATAACCCTAAATTATTTTTAATTTTATCTGACAAACCTAATGTACACACATATAATTATATATAATTGCGATTGTACTTACTTACTTTACTTTGCTTCGGCTATCTCCTACGGAAGGATGAGCCGGCTTCATGAACTTCTCAAATCATCGCTACCCAGGCGCAGCGATCTGATGAAGAGAGTTTACGAAGTTTCATGGGAATTTGGTACGAGTGATGTCCCCAGAACCACTCGGCCTTTTGTTTGATAGTGCAGCTCTAGCCTTTACACAACCAAGTGTGACCTACAAGGCAGTAGGAGTGGAGTAGGGAGTCCACTATCCATTGGCAGCCGGTGACCGGAGTTCGGTTCATACGCCTTTTTGAATGGGGCCAGACATCCAGGACATCCAACAAGCCCTTTGTCCATACGTCTGCCGGTGAGCTCCAGTGAGCTTCATACGCCAGTCGTTGGAGGTTTGGAATCAGGGTTTAGCCATCTCCCCTAGACTGTCATCCAATGGACAGTCAACCCGGTGAAGAGCGCCGGGCATCCGCTTTCGCCCTCTCACTTTGGTGAAAAACACCTCCGCCACGTGAAGGCAGTGAGTAGGACTTCCTCAGGAGAGGCTATGTAAGACGCCCGGTCATATGGGAGCATTTCAAGAGGTGTGCGGAGGGGTGGCCAACCCGCAGCGCAAGGCACCCACCCCCGACCATCCTGAGGCTTTGGAGGAGATTGTACAGCTAAGTGAATGAATTCACCCCTGAAAAGAGACTCTTCGCTGAACTACGTAATTTGTGTTTTCATTAACATCTGGACAAGGATTATCCATCAGCTAGTAAGCATTTCTGTATTCCAGAATCTGTTGAAGAGTGAATATATATGATCAATACACCCTCTTTATAGCTTAAAGCCTATCTGGTTTCCTCAGATTTGTTGTTCCCGAGCTGAACTCAGTCTGTGCTGGCTTGTAATGTGATGAGTTAATTACTGACAGCAGCAGTTTCAAGGGTGCATTTTAGATAAACCTCACATAAACGAGAAGCATCCAACCTTTAACCCGAGTTCATGATTGCTTTCATTTTTTTTTAAAAAAAAAAACGCAGTAAAACTTACATGATGTATTTGAACAGCTAATTCACGTGTAGGCGCCAAAATTAGAACTTGAATTTGACAAATCTCAGGCTGAACATTTTGTAAAGTTCCTATGCTAAATGTTGCTGTCTTTCCAGTTCCACTTTGAGCTCTATAATATATTTATGCACCATTTAATTTTGAACACATAATGGGAACTTACTGTGCAATCACATCTCTTCCATCGATTATTTGTTTGATAGTTTTTTGTTGAATAAGTGATGGTTTTTCAAATCCTACAGGACAGACACTATTATATATACTGGGCAAAATAACAAACCATAGGCATAGATTCCCTTTAACAGATTATCCTTTAATCCCATTGAAACAAAAGTTGGATAGGATTTAACTGACTCAGACAGACTAAAATCACTTTCAGATAATAACTCATTCCCTTCCGACAACGCCTCCATAAGAGTGTTGAACTACACACAGGAAAAAGCGAATCTCAGGATGATAAAATTAACATATTGACATCATAAACGACCAAAAATGTTGTATATGCTGTGTAAAAATCTGTGTAAAGAAATATGGGAAATTAGGACTCTGTAAGGTAAGACACATGCCATAAATTTCGTGTAAAGCAGAATGCGTGTAATTCTTTAGAGCAAGCAAACTGAAAGACACTAATACAGAGCTAGCTTGCAATAAATATTCAAAATTAATCAAGAGGCATTTCGACACGTACTATCTAACTGCTTGAAACTGGCACAGAAGTGATACGGTTAAAGTGGCCATACAACAACAGAGCAAAACGCATACAACTGGAGAAATATATATATATATATATACATATTGAAACTTTATTGAAGACAAACATGCATGGAGAAATAATTTGTTTAAGACTAGTGCGGATTGGCAAATTCTTTAAGATAACCGGGACTGAATACATATCCAGTACCAACGACTGTGAACAATGTCATCAACAGTGTTGTCAATCGCTGAATAATAAGCATCGTAGCCGACTGTTTTACACCCGACCTACACATGACTTATATCGAGAATCAAAATCTTGAAGAACTCTGATGCCACTGTAAAAACTGAAATTACTACTAAGTAGTGGCAAGGGTTCGGTTTCCCTCACTTCTCTATTGGAAAAATAAACTACCCAGAAGTTTAAGAATACGCATGCTACACTAATTTTCTGACATCCACCTTCCATAAGCCAAGTTACATGGCTGTATTTTTTCATTTCAAAAAAAAACTTACTTTCTCAGCATTCAACTCCGTTCAAATGTTGTTGTAACTCATTTCAACGAAGGTGACAGTGTGGGTCACCATCTCAAACACGTCGGTTGGAGGATGTACAACAGCCATACAACAGCCCTTCAGAGTCTGTGGATGCACGGTAGGGATGGTTAACAGTTTGTCCCCATCTAATTCATGAGTACAGTGAGTCGAGATACTTTGGATGTCACACTCCTCCCAGAGACCTGTGGAAACTCACAAGTTTTAAACTTTAGACAACTTCTTGCCCGAAAAATAACCACCTAGTAAAAGACCCATTTTCAGTGTTTACGACACCTTTCCGGTAATGCAGGAAGTCTGATGAGGAGTTTATCAAACACTTCACCGAATTAGAAGTAGATGCCAACAAAGTTGGTTGTAGTCAACAGCAGACATTATCTCCCGAATCCCAAGGTACCAATATCACTGTATATTATTAATCTCAACTAATTCTGAAGCCCTAAATCCGATTATTCTTCCATTGACACAACTATAAAAACGGTTTCTAACCAGTAGGAATAATTGTGAGAATTTTCTCATTATTTATAGACAGTCAAAATGGTGAACAGCCTACAAAGTTATTCGAAATCAAAACTGAAAGTGACAATTCTAAAACCTGAAGTAGGCGTGAAGTTCACCTTTCAAGGGACTTTAAAGAAATCCAGCACTGTCATCTATAGTTTGCACAAAATCACTGGATATACGATTGACTGTAGCTGCAAACTTGGCGCAGTTCTCAGGCACACTATCATCTAAAAAGGTTGGACGCAAAATAGATACAGCCAACAAGTCTAACTTCCGCAACTTGGAACGTCACTTACAAACACGTATGACGAAGAAGTGAATCACGTAAATTCACACTACACACTGAATTAATTCCGAGAATCATCGTTCATGCAGAGCATAGTCACTCTTTTTTCTAGGCACTTCAAATAAACATCCCAGAAAAAGCGATGACAGTTGTGTAGGTTAAACTCTATAACAGGAACTGTTGGATGTCTTCTTAGTGTATGGCTTCCCAAACTCATTCCTACTTTTTCGTCTTTCCAGGATGCTTCTCATAGACCACATTTAATTGACCAGCAGTAAAATCATGAACTTTCGAGTTTCTACTGAAGCCTTTCAAATAACAAATGAAGAATTTCTTGATTTACACTGAATGACATATCCAAGCACTTATGAGGACTGGAAATGCGCTAGCTTACATGTGTCATGAGAAGGATTTGAAGTACATTTATGTTGTATGCACTTCGACTAATACGTAGTGAATATGCACTTTCAAACAATATATGTAACGGAGTCTAAGGTGTTTTCTGCAACATGGCTTACTGGCAGTGGAACAGCATGAATTCCGACCAGGACGATCCTGCTTGACAAACTTACTGTTAGCTAGGGAAGATTGGGTCGAGACCAGGGATAAAAACCATCTACTGGACGTCGTATTTATCGATCTTAGTAAAGCATTCGATAAGGTATCCCACTTAGGTCTTTTTAGTAAACTTAAACATTTTGGATTAGACCAACGCTTATGCGAGTAGTTTAGTGACTACCTGATGGATAGGAGGCAAAAGGTAAGGGTTAATGGTGTACTGTCAGGGTGGAAAGCACTACTAAGTGGAGTACCTCAGGGAACGGTACTTGGCCCCCTGCTATTCTTATTATACGTAAATGAAGTGCCAAAAATTCTTACCTCATCTTCCTTACTATTTGCGGACGATATTAAGATATGCAAAAACCGTAAATAGTAGCGATGATAAGTTGGTACTACAAAACGATCTAGACAAATTAACCGAATGGGCTAACCTTTGGAGTCTGGAAATTAATTCCAAGAAAAGCGCGGTAATGCACCTAGGTCAGAAGTCTTACACGTCGTACTCCATTGGGGACACAGAACTGCCAGATGTTAGGGAACAAAAGGATTTAGGAATTATTGTTAGCCATGACTTAAAAACAACGGTAAACTGTAATCGAGCCGCAGCTAAGGCTTTTCGAATGCTATGGGCACTTCGAAGAGCTTTCAAACGATTAGACGAGGGTATGTTCCAAGTCCCCTATGCAACATATGTCAGGCCTCATCTAGAGTACTGCATACAAGCGGCGAGTCCATGCTTCAAAGAGGAGGCACATACCCTTGAAACAGTACAGAGGGTAGGAACGAAATTAGTTAGCGGTATCTCACACCCTCCTTATGATAAGAGGATGGAGCATTTAAATCTCTTCCCATTATCATACCGAAGGAGGAGAGGCGACTTAATTTTGGCTCACCGTATATTCAAGGGTGATTTAGGGATTGACCTTCCAAACCTTTTCTCTCCCTCTAGGATACATTTACGGGGTCACCGCAAAAAGGTGCTCAAACCGAGGACGATTAAAATACGTTTGCAGTTTAGATTCTCTCACAGAGTGGTCAACGACTGGAACTCCTTACCTGATTCAGTAGTAACAGCTCCATCGGTGAACACCTTCAAAGAGAAACTGGATCTTTGCAGAGATATATATCGCGAGGATTAACATAGGCAACAAGAGCCTTCTATCCCTATAATCTGAATTCAGAGTGAAAGTATTCTGAGTATGGCAATAGTAGAAATACTAGGCGTTGAAAATGCCGATCAGTGAGGAAATTATGACAGTCAGAGAGGAACAGATGCATCAAACGGGAAAAATACATAGAGAAACTGCCATCAAATGTTATACTCACAAAGAATACAGAAGAATCTTCGGTGCCGAAACGCGTGCGATTTCAGTGTCTTTCCAACAGTCACTTCACATTTCACTATCATCCCCACATTATTTTACAACTTGGGTTCACACAACCAAAGCCATTGTTTAAGAGGCCGACAACTTTAATAAAAACAAATATATATATATATATGCAGAGAGAGAGGGATAGTTGGGAGAGGATGTGGCAACATTGCTAGAAGTGGGGCTGGTATACAAAAATTTGTATATCTATGAGAAAACAGTCTCTACTCAAAACATCAACGACGAAAACCCGAATTTCAATACATGTCACAGATGTCACAAGCTGATTCTTTCAGAGTACATATATATTTTTATATGTATGAGTATAGGAAGGACTGGGTATGCTAAGTCATTCATAGGTACCGTATTTGAAGTGACATATTTACGTCGCATTTATGGGCACGACATCACTTTCTGCACAAAAAGAACCAAACAGTACTTCAGAAAACAGATGTCAGCGACCTTGTAAACCAGACGGTAACGCTTTACTACATAACCCCGCTCTAAATAAACCTCAAAAGTGGTCCTGTTCAATAGCAATCGATGGCTGAAATTATCCCGCATGCTCAAGGTCATATATGGAGTGAGACGCTCAAAGGTCATTTTCGTCCATGTTAGTCGGCTATGTTGGATTGCAGTTCCGTAGCCGTTCGTTTACACATTGGTTTTACGTTCTTTTGGCATTTATAGGTGATTCCCATGTACTGATAGCATTCTTTTGTAAAATATTACTGTTCTTCACACGAAAATAGCCACATTTTGACGTAGTCTTCATTGAATGACACTATGTCGAAAGCTGCAGCTTCTACAAGAAATAAACTATTTGTGTAGATGACATTACCCCCCAACTACCTCATCTTCTTCACTGTAGAGATGTTTTGACGCATTCAGCATAAAACACTAATCATTACAACCAATATGCTAAGTGTGTCGCAGTCAGATTACATGACGCGGACACCAACATAACTAGCCAGGAAATGAGAATTCCTATCAATCCAGAAAACATATAACAAAATTTTATTAAAAATTATTGACAAAAAATTTGCCGAGCGAAATTTCAACCAACATGCCGGATAAGTCCAGCCCAATCGATTATCCAATATCTAATGTTGTGTTTACGAAGTAGTAAAGCCAAATTGATTTCTTGATTGTGAGGTATAGGCTCTTCATCTTTTTTTGAATATAGCTTGATTCCACACCGTATTTTTGGTACAAGTTTGGAATTTTTAGCATGTAATATCGGCAGCCCAAATTTTGCAGGCCGAATAGTTGACATCAGGTGTGCGTCGGCAGGGAATCGAACCCCGGACCATGTGCATGGTCGGCGAGAGTCCTATCCGCTGTGCCACCGACTTCAGCGTAGCTAGTCCCGCCCCTCGACTGTCGTAGCTTTGGTTGACTCCAAAAGGAGTAGTGCTGGGGTTAATTATATGTGGTGTGTAGTATGAGGTGTGTTAAGACTGTTACTACTGTGAGTGGAGTTGATCCTTTCACCAGTTAGTCCTCCGGTATTGTTGTCAAAAGCAAAGATATAATAATAATGATAGATATAATTAGTGAAGTTATTCAGACAAACAGACTGAAAAAGAAATAAGGAAAACGTAACAACAGTCAGCTGATAAAATTTGAAGAATAATATGAATAATATATATATATGTATCGATAATAATGACAATAATAAGTGTAGTTAAAGTTGTCAGGTGAATAAGACGGGAGAGAATGTAAAGAAGTAAAACGACGAACTTAGTTGTCTACCCCTGAATGGTGTATGGGACTTTAAGGGGTTAGGCCATTTGGACGCAGTCCTTGTGTCGCTGCATGGTTGTCCAGCCTTCGCTTAAAGGCGCCCGCAGACGGTGCCATAGCTGCATCTGCCGGTAAGGAATTCCAAGGACGGCAAACCCGCAGTGAAAAGAAGTGGGAGCACACCCAACTCCTTGCCCTCTGGTGAGCTATCCTTCGGGGATTTCCACGAGGGAGCCTATACCTACTCAATGACAGAACACATTTGTTCTGGTGATTCTGGTCATTTTTTATTTTCTAGGCAGTAATTAAATCCCCCCTAAGCCGAAGGTAGCTAATTGTGAGTAGGCTTTATTTCTTTAGCCTTTCAACATGTGGTTTGTTTCAGAGACCAACCACTCCTTTTGTTACCCGTCTTTGGACTCTTTCCAAGAGGTTGGCGTCTCTTCTAAGCAGTTGGGGTGCAATGATATTATGTACTTCAAGGTATGGTCTGACGTATGTTCTGTACAACTTTAGAAAGAGCCCAGGAGTGAGTGCACCTGTCTACGTGTAAAGTGTACGACCACATATGCCCTCGCTACATCCCCCGTGTAATCTACACTTGTGTCCATTTTTCCGTTAGAACTGGACCTAAGTCACTCTCCGACGTTGTGCGGGACAAGCTTTCACTGCACAGAGTGTAACTTGCACTCTGCAGTCTACAGGTGCATAAATTCACTCATGCCACTGGCCACCGCAAAGTCTTCTAGAAGGTTTAGATCTTCCTGCAGCCTATTTGAGTCCTCCTGACACTTTATCGCCCTCTATATCTTTACGTCGTCAGCGTATTGAAGAATCGGGTAGCTTAGACGGCATGGTAGAACATTGGCAAAAATCAAAATCATCACTGGTCCTAGGATAGTACCCTGCGACACTCCTGATGACGAGCCGTGCCAAGATTATTGGACTCGATTGACCTAAGTGCGAAATTGCCTTTCGGCTACGTAATCCTTTAACCATGATAGAAGTGTCTTACCTATACCTGCCTGACTTATTTTGTGTAGGAGTAGGTTATGGTGAACAGTGTCAAATACCTTCTCGAAGTCTAGAAAGACCATATGGACTGGGACATTCATATCGCAGCATTATGTCCAGTCGTCCAAAGCTGATAGTAGGTTAGTAACGCAGGATCTGCCTTTCCTAAAACCGTGTTGGGCTTCATGGAGTATGTTAGACCTATCGAGGTATTCTCTGATGTGATCGTCAATAATACTTTCCAATAATTTTGATACCACTGGGGGTAGAGCTACTGGTCAATAACTAGTAGCATTTTGCCTATCCCCACTCCACTCCCTTGGCAGTTTCCCCGGATCCATCGAGTGTTGGAACAAGTCTCAGAAGGCACATGGCCCTGGTTGGTTGGTTTTCTTTCCGACATGAATCGATACAGGTTTTTGGGGCTTGCTAGGAGTTTCTGGCAAGGTGAGTCTGGAGTGACCTCCTGTCCCTCCTGACTCATGCATTGCACCGGTTTCTGAGTTCCAGGCACGCATCATGGTCGATCTGGCTCTTAGGTACGCGCCACGTAAACTGTATGAATAAACTTTTTTACCCCTTCCCAGTGTTCATCCACAGATAGCTCATCCCGTGCTAAGGGCCAGTCTGCGTCGGACAAAAGCCTCCGCATTTCAGCATAGTCAGCCTTGCTGTAACACAGACATGGTTGCGTAGCGTCCCACTGCAAGTGCTCACGGAGAACGAGGTCGAAACCTATGACTGCATGGTCACTACTTCCTAGAGGAGTCATGACCTGGATCTTTTCGACGAGTAGTTGGTCACTAGTTAGAATGTAGTCTAGTTTTGATGAATTTCCACTAGGGCCCCACCTAGTGTCGTCTCCAACATTCTCAGTCAGTCCCGTATTTCGAATAGTTTGTAGTAGATTTTAGCCGAATTTTCCCTTAGCATACCCCAAGCCAAGGTTCAGTGATGGAGCATTGAAATCTCCAGCTATAGTGATTTGGTCCTAACCTAAGTCCCGTATCCCTATGATAGTACTGGACAGTAGCTGGTTGTGCTCTGCCCCACAGGTGGGTGATCGGTAGATGCCACCCAGTAGATGCTTGGTGTGGCCTGCGGTGAAATGACACCATATGGAGTCTGGGAGTCGGTGGTGGGTCCGTTGCGCGCACACATTTAAGTTGCCTGTCAAAGTATATAGCAGCTACCCCATTCCTTGTTATTCCTGTCTCTCCTGACCAGAACCACATCACTTATACTGATTTCGTTGTCGACGATAGTGGGGGTTAGCCATGTTTCAGTTAGGATTATTATTTTAAAGTCTAGGTGTGACTGGATGTTTCTGAGTTCACCTACTTCCCCTCTTAGCCCTCTTACATTGCTATAAAGGCAGATGTCAGTGAGTTTCACAACCTCAGCGTGTTGTGGAGTAGTTGACGTTACGTTGTCTGCCGGTAGGGGAATTAATATTGGGACTAGTTGGCCGATTCCGATGGAACCCGCCCGTTGTTGTCGTTGTCCTTGGATTCGGGTAGGACACTTGGGTGACACAGACTTTTATTCTCAGTACTGCATCCCTCTAGTGTCACTGAAACTTGGAGATGT